GGAACCCCAATACCCCTATGAACAAATTCTTTGCAGTTTCGTGCTTATCTCACCTTGCAGAACAATTTCTTGCTCTTAGTTTTGAATTTAAATGAAAAATAAATATTTTACTTTAAAAATTAGCATAGCTGAAAAGTGGGGACATCCCCCCCCGATCCTAGGCCTATGTTTTTTTCCTTAATGGTACAAATCATCCAGATTCATATGAGAAGGGTAGGTAGCTACCTACAAAATCAAATCAATGCCTCAATTGTTTATTGTTTTATTACAATAAGTCCCTCCTCTGCCAATCACACTAAACTATCTACTGTCACAATGCAGTGTGCGTCATGATTTCTCAACTCTATGCATACAATATATTTCCATTTGTCAATCACATATTGTTTTTTTTTTACAGGCTTTCCGGTTATGACTGAGGCCAGCATCTCACGTGTCCTGGCTACGCCAAATCACTGCGGATGCCGGATGCCGAGGACCGGAGAGCCAACCGCTTTTAGGCGTGAGCTCTGTGGCGTGGCTCGAGTGATCACCAGGTTCTGACGGCTACGGCGCCGTCGACCTGGTTGAATAGCTGGGGCCTGGACGAGGGTGCCCTTAGTACGGTGGTCGATCGGTTACGTCCGAGGGGCGCTCGAACACGCTGCCGTCGCGTGGCTGCCGGCGGCCGCCCCCTCGCACGTGAATCTCCTGGAGCGAGGACTGCGGGAGGCGGCCGCATCATCACCTGTGTCCGCGCTCAACACCGTGCCACGCACTAATGGCGGAAGCCCGACTTTCTCCGATGGAGGAGAGAAGCTGGACGCTGGCTGCCAGGCTGCTGGGGAGGGCGCTGGGTCTGCCATCAGGGGACCCCCTGCGCGCGACCGCCGAGGCCTCGGCACCGGCGCGCCTGCCTTCGGTCCGAGGCTGGAGATTGCGAGGCCGCCAGGCCTGGGCGAGAGCGAGAATCTCACCGTGGCAACACCGCAACAGACGGCTGGCGTCACCTTCCGGTTGGACGTGTGCCCGATCCGGGCTGGGGTCACGGCGGCGGAAAGGGAAAGCGTGGCTACGCTGCACCTCGCGTTCCTGCCCCTGTGTGCTGTCCGGCTTTGGACGGACGGATCTGTGGAGGGCGGAGTCTTCAGGCGCTGGGCGGGAGCCGTGCTGGTCTGGCTGGACGAAGAGGTCGAGGAACTGCGGGCCCCGGCCGGAGAGCTGTGATATAGCTACCGCGCGGAGATGGTGGCGCTGGTGACCGGTCCGGAGACCGTACTCGGAAGAGACAGAGACCAGGACCTGCGGTCCGTACCTATCTGCTAACCGTGCGGTAGTGCTGGTGTAGTGCAACATTTTTGGATGGCTAGCTACATTTCACGATTAAATAGCTGGTACGTTTCAGTGCAGGTGGCGTGACGAACAATGTATCTGTTGGCCACTTCTGCGGCCGCTGCCATTTCCCACTCGAAGGCGGGCGCGCTGTTTGGCTGGGCCGGCAGGATGTTCCCATTATGTGTCGACGACGAAGCGAGTATATTCATGTTCTTTTAATGCACAGAAGTCTGTTGTATATTTGAAGTTTTATTTTAGGTTGACGATTGCGAAGGGCAGATTCATCTTCTCTCTTTCATTTGTGTTGCCACTTTAGCGTTCATGTTTGTCATAAGTGTCCTGGTCCGGCTTGGTTGTCATCTTTATTCGTGATTTATTTTATTTTACGAACATGCTGGTGATCAATGCAATACACTTTTGATTAATAATACTGCTTTAGCTCTGATCCTTTGTGGTATGTCTTGATTGTACTACTGCGATAGTGATTTTTCCTCACCAAAATATGCAGGCAACAAATGTAAATGCTGCCAAAAGTTTGTCATTGCGTGATGTATCTAAAAGACATCAAGTTTCTGAACGTGGTCGTGTACTACGCAACCGGAAACTCAATAGGACGTGGAATGCTGTGAAGCAAAACTACAGAAGTGAGGCTGGCCACGCCAAAATCAAGTGAGATATGTCTAGCCTTTCTTCAGCCGCCAAGGCTTCGACAGACTATCCGCGGGTTCGGTGTCTCTCGAACTACGAAGATTCAACGTCGTCCGGCCAATCCTGGTTAAGGTCAGCGGGGACTTAGCTGTGGTTATGGAACAGGATTGGCCGTCCGAGAGACTCCGAACCTGGGGTATGTTGCAGCGCAGCTATGTCGACCGAGTGTCGTCGCAAGCTGCCCCACTCGACGAGAAAAAGTAAAACCGTCCCGTCCTAGGCTGACTAGGCTTAGCTAGGTGGCAGCACAGTCGCGCCGGCAGGGGGCAGTGCCACAACCAGCCGACTGATATTTTCGTGTGACGTCAGAACCGGTGCCTCCCTGCTCCGCGCGGGCCGGCGGCCGACTGCTCTCGAACCCCGCGTCTGCGCGCCGGCGCCGCCAATGGCGTCGCCAGGCCCCCAGGCAGGGGGGAGCAACTGGCGTCGCCAGGCCCCGGGGCAGGGGGGGAGCAGCTCGCGACACCACAGTACAAACATTATCTGCTGAAACAGCTCCTTCTGTTGGCTGTTATTAAACTTTTAACATAGGTAACATAACAACATGTATTCCATGTATATTACATTTGTTGAAGTAAAATACTGCCGGCTATTTCAAAACCAGAAAATGAAATTATATTGTGGCATAATTCACCTGCTCAGCTATCAGTATCAAATAATAATTAATTTAATATTTGGCATATTCTATATAACACATTCATAGAATATTCTACTTCACGTCACAAGGACTCACAATCTTTCTGTTGGGTGTTTGATTGACGCATTAACTAAGTTTGTCTTAGCTTTTATTATTGCAAAAAATTCATATTGCATTATTGTATCAAAATACTGCCAGCAATAACAAAACAAGAACATGAAATGCCAATGAGCAAGCCGCCTTTCCTTAAAATGGATTACTTTGAAAGGAATTTTAGTTTCTTTTAAGGAAAAGGAGAAATGATTATCAGGTAATTATCAGAAAACCACTCAACCAGCAAGTGGCTGGGTGGTTTCACAGCAAACATCAAGCCAAAACATATACTTACATCTATCTAACAATTGAGCCATTTGACTACTACAAGGATATGTGAGCAAAATAAGAATCCAATTATCCAATGTTGACTTCCTTGCAAAGTTTATGCCTTATTTTATGAAAATGTGTCACTAGAATATGATACTTATCATCGAATATTATTTAATTTACGATTTATTTCGATCGGAATGCACATGGACTCCTGCGCCATTTTCGTCGACGATGAATATGATCGTGTTTCATGAAGAGATAAGGGGTTTCAATGGTCTTTCAAAGCAATAATTTGATGCAAAAATTTGTGGGAAATAATATGAAGCTGGTTCAAATGGCCATCAACCATTTAAAACACCGAAAATACTCACAACTCCGTCCCGACGACCACGCAGCACCGCGCACGCCACACCACTGGCACAATGCCAAAACTGCTGTCACAGCGGAAATGTTTTTTTTTCTCGATTGCAATTGTGGAATTATTTATTAAACAGAAGATGATCTTTCCGAAAAACCGACTGATTTCATACACAGATGCATGGAAAATAAAAAATCCCGGTAAGTTTATTTGTATTGTTTTGTCGATTTTGACATGCTCCTAGTTTGCAGCCATATTTCGATATGTTCTACAGGGAGTTCAGAATTATTTCAGGACCAATCTTTTCCTCATTCATTTTCCCGTCGATTATGAAATTTTTAGAGCGGAACAATTGGTTTCCAGGCGGTCCGAGCGGTTTTCGTGAGAAGGGTGCAAAAATCGGCGTCATTTTTAGAGCCTCGACACCAGCTCAACACAGGACCCTATGGGAGACGGTGAAGTAGCGGGAGCAATAAATAGAGCGCTCTAATTTTAGCTTATTTCCCTGGTGTGTCACCGACTGTCCTTGAGTCTGGAAATTGGAGAAGGCAAGCTAACCGCCTTTCTAATGCAAGGAATACCATGAAAGCAAATATAAAAACAAATTATACAATTTAAGTAAACAAGCAAACATAAAAGGAAACCACAAGTAAGAAAACAAAGGCATTTAGCGTAAAATAAAAACATTTACCAATATCTTCTCCTCCGTAATTGTAATCATTCAGGCAACGCGTGACAAAACGCGCCACATACGCAACAATTTTAACTCCATTAGAAATTCCCGCGTTATATTCTACTAGCTACCGTCGCTGGTCCAATGACGTCATTCAAATTAAAGAGATATTTTCTACCTATTATTTTTCTTTATCACTAAATTTATGACTACTTAGGTATACAATTTCTTTGTGACTTCACTAAAACACTGCATAGTGGCAAATTTTTACCTTACGTTATACCATCCCTCCCATCGCCTCGCCCTCTTTTCCATAAGAGATTTGATTCATTATTGAATGCCATTTTCAAACCCTCATGTTCAATCAACCACGGTGACTATAAATACAATCAACTTTCTTTCATTTCAAATAATTGCTTAGCCAGACCTAGGAGAGTTTGAGGTCACATCGGTCACGTGACATCGTTCTACCTCACCTTTAGGCATAGGTATTCAATATTCATTAGGTATTCTACAGCTTTAGTGCTCATATATCCAAATCTTGTCCTATTGTAAGCATTCGACATCACGGTTTCATCATCTTTTATAACGCATTACCAGCCTATATATAGGCAGGTAGGTATATTAGCTCAGTCAGTAGGTAGAGCACTGGACTCCGTGCAGTGTAGTGAGAGCACACTTCCAGGTTACAAAAGTCCGAGGAGGTTCGAGGCTCGATGTCTAAGAGGCTTCTGGCTGGTATAGTTGTGGTTGCCGCCAGACCGCAGCCAGCAAAGGTCAGTGACAGGGACGGGCCGTATAGGCGGTTATGTGCGTGCTGTAGCGTGCACTGCCGCTACCGCGCTCCAACTGTTGTTCTATATACCCTGCTCCAACTGCAAGACACCTGGCGGCAGGTCTAGAAAGCTGAGCACCTTACTACGAGAAAATGCTCTTTTTACAAACACTTGTTATAGGTCGGCGTATGTTTGATGTATTCTTTGTTGTTCTGCATCTTATAAAAAAAATCATGCCGTACACACAAAACAAAGCAAAACAAAAATGAATAATGCGAGTCGGTACATCTTGCGAATGCTCCCGATCTCTTCATGCACTGCTTCGTGAGTCGGCCGTTCCTTTCGTTCAGCAGCTCTTAGGTCACTATATTAGCGATAGGTGAGTGACCGACCCAGGACGAATCTTCCTCTACAGCAGCGGCATCATGAACGCATTGTCTGCAAGGAGATCGGAGCCTAGCGGCATTCTATACAGAATTCGGCACGGTCTTTTGCGCTCACCGGCGCCGATGTCCCTCTTCTTTCTCCAGAGAAACGGCGAGTAAATACTGGAACTTATGGGCAGGGAGGAGTATACCAACAGAGCGGGGTCGGCCTGCTGGTCCATCTCGACATCCCTCTTTTTCCTCCAAATTAGCGGCGACTGGACGATCGGCGACTGGACGATCGGCATGCCGGCGAGGCCGACCGCCGACGGCACGGCTGACGAGTAGAGCAGCAGGGACGGGTCGGCCCGCTGGTCGGCAGGGGACACCTCTCGACGGGCGCGCGGCAGCGACAGCGTGCTGGCCGCCGACACCACGAATAGCACGCACAACTGAAATAAAGATGGGAATGGGTCGTAACAAAATACCCCGTGACGAGATAGGATATTCTGGCAGTGACATTAAATATACTCGTTGGCTTTTTTGTATCACTGCTGACGGTTAACCGTGCCGTCCCTCTCAGGTGATTGGTGATTGCAACTGATTGCAGAAAACTTCAATTCGATAAAGAGGTAGGCATGCTACAACCGATAACGAGAAATAGTTCACATGCTTATCAATTGTTAAACGCTTATCAATTCAGTTTCTATGATTATTTCTTTACACAATTAATTTTTGAAGCCAAACTATTAATGTTCCAGTCCATACTTTGGCGACACTTTGGCGATACGCTCGGTCAGCAAATTTCGAAAATAATCCATAAGTTATCACCTTTCTGTTCTCCACCCTGAAGGTCCAAGACTCCAAAAACTCGTCCCGCAGACGACTTACCGTCAGCTTCATGGCGTTTGTTCGTCGTTGGTGCGTCAACAGACACACCTGCGACTGCAGTCCGGGTGCGTCTCCTGATATCCTATGCACCCTTTTATACGAAATTAGAGGACGTGCTCAGGTCACGTGACACCGAGTGATCATCTTTTGGGGCGTGGTGTAAACTGGTTTTATCTCGTAACATCTTTGTTTTCATCTGCACCCCCGTTGCAGCGCCAGACAACTATAGGAGGCATTTTTGCATTGATTCGTGCGTGTGTTTACCTAACCAGTCTCTGGAACAAGGCAAGGGAATAAATGTTGCAACTTGCAAGACTGTGATGCAGATTTTGCAAGTTTGAACCGTGCACGCCATTTCAAGGACATGATTTGTCACAGAATGGGTCCGAAGTAAAATCTATTGAAAATGTGTCTGATGTGTTTCCTGCCTACATCATAGGTATCCGTGCCTATGGAAATTGATTGCTTTAAAATAGGCTAATGAAATTGTACTAGCACTCATAGGCTACCGACGAAGTGAATACCCATTATAAGGACAGGATGCTTGATGATACCGACCCGTATAGTTTATATACATTATACATACATACGTTGTGCGTATCATGTTAAATAAAGAACGTCAATGAGCGTGCTGTATTTAATCCTTCAATAATCTTGAATCTACCCTCGGCTCACAGTAACGGGACATAGAGCACTTCACGGATAGGCTTTTCAAGATCCAGCCCGGCCCACATCCAGCAAGTCATATCCAGGTTCGCCCATTATCCGTCTTAGTCTTTGAATTTCAGAATCCGACCCGCCCATGGCCCATATTTCAGCCAGTCAGCCAAAAGATAAATATCAATAACAATCCGTTTTAGCAAAAACTGGTTGTGAGAGTATCATAAATTCACTGTAAGGGACCAAAAATGCCTCCCGTGAGAAAAGATGCACAAAACCACAACAGCACTTTACATGCACTTACAAAACCAAAGAAAAAGGGTACTCAATTTACTGAACGATTAATTGCTGTATATCATAGGACAAAATAAAATACAAATCTAGCAAAAAGACATTTTGTCCATCCGCGTCGCGAATTTCACTGAAGACGTTTGATAAGCAACCGATATTTGGTTTTGCTTTACGCAGAAACATGAAAAACACATAAACGTTGCTACTTTTGACACTAGAGGGTTATGCTGGGTGCCTTACGTCCGAGGGGGAGTCTTGCCCCACTCTCCCCTACAGATCACATAGTTCATACACGGATCATGCAGATCATATTACAAAAATCCCCTTTGTAGGAGTTAGGATTTATGATCCTATACTATAGCTCATAGCTCATATATGTATGACAAATAGTGCTAATGAAGATAAAAAATCATCGCTTTATTGGCAAGAAAATTCAGGCATCTTTTGTCGATATCCAATATTCATTCAGTAGGTACCTACTCATCATTATGTTTAAGCCAAGCTTAAGTCCTACTTTGCGACCTACAGCTGTTTCGTCTATTGGAGTATTTCAGACGCAATTCCAACCGGCGACTATTGATGTGTTTCAGGGGGTCCATTGGCTTGCGTTAGCGGCAGTACTCACAGTAGTTCTCAGGTCATAATTTGTGCCTATTAGTTAGCTCTTTGCTGAATGATAAATCTGTCTCGTTGAGTTGAAAAATGAGTTGAGAATCTTTATTTGCAGTTGTACGCTGCAAAGGCTGCCAATGAAAGCGGACCACATAGTAACAATATTGTTACTATACAGGAGCCGGCGAGCCGCGGTCGGCCTCGCCGGCCTGCCGATCATCCATTAACATTGCACTCAGAGGGTTGAAAGGGGAGCTTGTGAATCCGTGAATGGCAAGTTGCCCATGAGCGAATGTGAAATACGGTGGTATGCAATGCTTGCAACATTCTTTGGGGACTATATAAGTTGCAAGTAACGGCTCATGGGTTTGGGTATTTGATGAAATGGAGCATGAATTTATCATTTGTATACAAAGCGATGAGTATGCATCGCAGTTGATTTGGAGTACCCAGCATCCATTCCCTGATCCTTACATGCAACCAGTATTTGAATCCCCGCCAACCTTGAAGGGCCCTCATTCGGTGGTCAAACTTCAGCTAATCCATACCGAGCCTTTTGTTTCCAGCAGCCCAGCTAGCTAGCAGTCAACGTTTGGTTCAGCATCTTGGTCAGCATGCTGCTCAACATGTTGCTCAGCATGTTACCCACGATGTTGGACACCTTGCTGACATTCCAGTTAGCCGTCCCGTCGGTCATCACGCTCTCCAGAAGCTCCACCAACCCTTCCATCATGAAGTCAGTGAAGCTGATGTCCTTGCTGGCCATCCCATGTTCACTGGCTGAGGATCGATTCGAGTTCGTGACGTCTCCACTGCCCACGACTGCTCTGTCAAGTCCTTCAGCAAGTTCGGTCACTTTCTGTGCTATCTTCTGTGCTAGGGAGACCGGATGTCGATCACTGGTCTGGGAGAACGAGTGTATATTGTTTGGGGTTGTTGGGAACGACTCTCAAGACACTCAGCCTGTTGATATGTACAGAAAAGTGGTTGACGAAGGGACACGTCTTGTTGGAGATCATGGAGAGCCTGCAGGAAGTTATGGTGAGGGAGCTGTCACAACTGAAACTACGGCGAAGCCCATGGCAAGACCTACGGTGGACAGTACGACCGGTATTTATGAAGCACAGCAGACAGCAACTGAAAGGACCAGCATGGAAAATCAAACGACTGTCCCAGGGAACTCGGACACCCTTGAAATCCAAGAAGTCACGTCCGGGATCTCAACAATGGGTTCTGAAAATCCAGCAATGACCACAGAAAATCCAACAACAAGCATAAGCAGCACATCAAGCCGACCAACTGCCACCGAAAACCAAACAGCTTCCGTCAAAAACTCGACAAACCTTGATAACCAGACAACCGCAGCCGAAAACCCAACCACCGCAATGGAAAATCAAACTATCAACTTTGACAATAAAACTTTCAGCATGGAAAATCAAACTATCAGCATGGCAAATCAGACGAGAAGTTTGGAGGGCCTAGCAGCTGATGTAGGAAAAGAAATAGAAGGCTCCACCACAATCACCTCTGTCAACGCCACCACAACGACAACAACGACAGCGACAGCAACGACAACGACAATAACGATAACAACCACAACAACCCCCATCCTTCTTTCCTCTCAAAACTCCTTCGGGAGAATCATCGACAACCGCTTCTATCGCCGTATCACCGCTCCTGAGCCCATGACTTACCAACAAGCCAGCTACCACTGTGGCGTGCTTCTCCCTGGAGGTGACCTGGCCAGTATCTTCACGATCAACCAGTTGAATTTTCTATGGGAGGACCCAGCACGTCCGGATACGGAAGAATGGATCGGAGTCCGACGTTCGGCTTTCAATTTGTCGCCACTGAATGCAAATGGATCCAGAGTGCCGTTCTCGATTGCAGAGTTCACGGAAGGAGTAGGGTTCTTTGTGGTTCTACCTGCTGGAAGAGTCCAGAAGAAACTATTGTACGTCGGGGAAGTTAATTATGACTTAAACTCGGGGTACGCTTTGCAGCATATGGTCTGTGACGTTCCTGTCCAGCCTTTTATAGCTTAATTCGTTTTGAACTGGCTTTATGCTAAAAATTAAGCTGGAATTGGTTAATTTTGAACTACCTTTGTCATATTTATTGAAACAGCTTATGTAGTATGAGAGCATATGGTATAAGTTAGTTTAAGCATGGGTTATTGTAGAAGCGGACTTACGAGATCTTAGTCTGTCCCTGTGGTCTGTCCTAGCTCTTAGGGTAACTGTGGGGAAAACGCACCCCTGGGTTAAACGCCTCCCCTAAAAAATCGTATTTCTTATCGACGGATAGGTGTTTTATCCTGTCTTTCAGAACAGTCAGCTGCTTGTTTACGTAGGTCTCTATTTCCGGTTCTGCGTCTTGAGGAGCAGCATGGGTAGGTGCTGATGTTGGTTTTGGGTGTTGTTTTTGTTGTTTTTACAGAAGATTCCTAAGATTTTGATGCCCTCTTTATATCACAAAACTTGCTATTGTGCACATCACTCAAAACTGCGTTTTATTGTCATTCTGTTGAATGTATTATGCTGCGGCGTTAGTGGCGCGTTTTTTTTTGTCAATATTTTGTTGACCGGAAATGGAGTGGATGGGGGAAGACGCCTACTCGATGCATGGGGCAAGACGCCCCCAGTTTTCTGAAAGGGGGGCATTTTGCACGGTGGTGAGAGTGCAGGGTAGCGCCCTGTAGGTCGGGGCCGAAAAGGCCTCTCCCTGTCCTTTTTTGCTGATATATCCTAAACGACTGCAGATATCGTCACCAAACTTTCAGGACTCCTCCGGGCATCCATTTTACATATTGCAACAAAATTTTATTCCAAAGGCTATGATAGGTTGACCACAAATGACGTCAGAATGACGTCAAGTTCTGCCATGTTCATCATTTTCTGTTGATGGATGGGGTGGGGGCGCTTTGCACATGGGTGTGGGCGTATTACCCAGGGTATGGGGCAAAACGCCCTTTTGTAAGGGTATGCGAAAACCTTTTTGGGGGGTTAACCCTCGCCGGACCTATTGGTTTTCTACATACGCGCCGGACGAGGGGGGGGGGGCGGGTACGACCCCCCCTCGCCGTTTCGCCCCTGGTGGAGCTAGCGCGTCGCGGAAAAAACGAGCGTGTGCGCCGTTACGAGACGCAGAGATTAGTACCCGATTTTAAGGTCCTAGGTCAACCGGTGACCTCTGAGGTCAGGTCAAGTGCCCCAGGGTACGGTTCAGTTTTTGGTGAATAACTTCGCAAAAAACGGCCGCAGAGCCGCGATTTTGGCAGCATCGTGTTCGCCTTGACCAGGCGCGTCGAATGATATACTTTTTGTTCGGGTCAGGTCAACTTAGGGTGTTGACCTCAGGTCAAGGTCAGGTCAGCACCCCCAGGTCACGAAGTTGGTCGAAAGAGGTCATGTCGCATATCATTCGATTCGGCAGGTCTTCCTGAGTCCATTGGTGGCTTTCCCGACTCGCTAGCTCAATTTGATCGGGAGTTATTGACGAAAAACTAATATGACCTT